CCTTCATCTACCCACTTGAGTATGGCTCATCTGGGCTCACACCAAACTGGTGCCACTCAAGGGAAAAATGGCTGCATCACTGGTTCAAGCTTTGATTTTCTTTTGATTCTCTCAAGATCAATACCACTCCAGGGTCAGATAGCACAATCAATCTACCCATGTGGATGTGACCATGTGCCCATCCTGTCTACTTACTGGAAGAGACAAATGAGGCCTTTCACTCTTAGGATGTTTCCAATGAAATGAGTCAAGTGGCTTCACCATATTTGGGTTGGTGCCTGCTTGGCCTCTGCTTGGGGGCCTGTTTGGTTGAACCAAAAGCAACCAAACAGCAAAGGAAGTTTCCCTTTTATTAAAAGCCGTCTGGCTTCCTTTCCCACCCTGACCCTGGGCCGTGTCCACTTGGCAAAGGCCCGGGCCAAATCGGCCATCACCTGGTCCGTCTCCTGACTGGAATTGCTATTTGCCAGCAGCTTGAACAGCGCAAAACGGCGTTCGGCTTGGCAAAGGTATGGTGTTTCCTTGAAAAACCAAAAACCCTTGTTTTCCTTTGGCTGTGAAGGTATGGTGATATTTCTGCTTCGCGCACAAACAATTCTTCGCTTCCTGCTTGTAAGCTGACCCCACGGAAAACCAGGGTTCACGTGTAGGGTGAAAGGGGCATCAGGGTGTAGGGTTCACCAGGCATCTGCGAGGCGAGGCTTAGGATTAAATACCCCTCCCTTCTGCATCGTCAACATGGAGAGGGGTGAACATATACAAAGCCAACATATGGGTGTCTTTCTAAGTACAAATGGCTTTCCTGTGGGTTTCCCTTTGAAATGACCCCAAAAAGGTACTACCGATATGGAAAAGGGAGAGAGATCTAAGAAATTATGAATCCGGGGTCAACCTTTGTGGTTTTCCTTGTGGCTTGCCTTAAGCCAACCTCAACAAGGGTGCCCTCAAAAAGAGACACACCCATTTAATTGTGGAGATAATGAGAGAGTCCCCTGGCGGTGAGAATTTAGTGAGGTTCCCCATGTTTCTTCTCGAATCGGATATTTGGATCTTGGATACTTGTCTGTGGCTGTTTGTCAAAGCTAGGGCCGCCTTTGGTTCGACATGTTGTATAAATGAGAGACGGCTGGTTGGACATTTCACATTGGACATTCATTCTTAGTGTGCGAGTGTGTGTGTGGTTGTACAACATTGGACCGTTGCCATTTCAAGGGATATGCTTTCCTCGTCTTGATGCCTTCCCAAGTCACCCAAAAAAGGTGCTGCTTGCGTTGGCAGCCGCCCCTACTCGTGCTGTGAACACTTCTCAAGCGCACCAAACCTAAACAACAAAAGATCCGAGAAGGAGACGAGTGGGATTCCCTGTGATACTTAGAGGCTCAGTTGTAACCATCTCTTTGAGATTCTTTGAGCTCGTCTTCTGGTCTTGCCAAAATCGCTTCCCGCAATTCAGGCATATCTGCCCAACTGCACCTTGTCACCCGTCACCTGCAGCCTCTCCATGTGCTGCAACACCTGCGTGCGTCACCCAGCGACACTGCTGACTGATGGTTCATGGCAAAAGTCCTCCGGGGGCATTGGATCTTCTCATGGCCCTTTTCACATGAAGTGTAGACTTCCACCAATCTGACCGTCGCCTGCTCCACGTACGTGTTCTCCCGCCTCAGGGAACGGCTCGTTTTACCCTCGTTGAGACCGAAGCCCCAAGTAATCTTGAGAATCCCCATGCGCACTTTAAGGGGCCCAGTCGGAGCAAACACGCAGGAAGTCCTCCGTCCTTGCGTTCGAAACCCATTGTAGGGCTTGAATCTCTGCCACCTCTCAAGGGAAACTCATGCTTGACAGGGCTCTGGGTATTGTCGGTGCCCCCCCGTAGCATCAGAGTTCGGACCCTCCAAAGGGGTTAGGAGGGTCCGCATTGGAAAGTTGGGCCTCAAAAAAGGGCTTGGTAATGGTTGCTTCAAGAAAGCATTCAAAATACAAGTTGAACTGCTGTCGGGGTGTTCATTTCTAGCGGGAAGCCCAAATAAGAATAAGGCTGAGAACAATTACATGTTCAAAAAAGGAATCCACAATCCAACACCCAAAACTGGAACAGGTTTAACTTTCCTGCAAGCGTGTGCCTTACCCTGCTATTCACAAGGGTTTCACAGGGCACCTCCGGAAGGCCAACGAAGAACCGCTCATTTCAACCAGGTCCTCCAGTAGAGAGGTTAGAACAAGGGTACCCTTTTTATAGTCTATTTTAGTAGGGGAACCATCCCCCAAAAAGGGAAAAGGGCACTGGGGGACCTAGTCAAGGTGCAACCCCCGTTCAGGGCTCCCATCCATCCCAAGGCCGAGCCACACAGCGCCCACGCAGCGCAGAAGGCGATTCCAGCCTCGGTTTCGGGCCGTGCTTGTGTTGATTGAGCTTTTAAAAAATGGCTCTTGGGGATGATGTGTGAATTCACAGATTGTGGTTGTGGTGGTTGTTTGAGCAAGAATGGATATGTCTCAAAATTGTGGCTATGATTTTAAGGAGAACAACCTCCAAAATGGAGGCCCCCATTTGACACGGAGCGTGCAAGTGTTGAAAGGTTTAGGACTCCCTATCTAATCAATCACTTATGAACCCACCCATACAACAAACTGTGGGCAAGCAGGTACAAGAAACGATGCAAAAGGCGGGACGGAACCCACTGCTCGACCAACGGTTGGGATGTGGGGCCCCTCCGTTCTGCAGGCTCCCATCCGGCTGTTTGTACCCGCGAACCCCTTTTCAGGAGGCCAGCATGCCATTCAGTAGGTGTCCCTCCATCTGATGTAATTACACGCTGCTTTCTAGTTTAAACATGACAGTGGATTTGAGGTGTTCGGGACATGTCAGGACAGCATCAAAGAAACTGCCCAGTGTGTGGGCCGTTGCACTATGTTTTAAATACGACACATGATCTTATTCATGTGCAAGCCTTTGTTGGTCCGCATACTAAGACGGCCAGCAGTTGCATCTCTCAGAGCTTCGGCGACCGAGTTATCCAATAATTACTGATTCAACCCCAACGCTAGTTTGAAAATGAGAAATGGCTAACTACAGTGCTTGAACTGAAACTATGTTCCTGGCCAAGGTTTGGGGCAGGTTTAAACTCCATCTGAGTTTGGACGATTCGATGGAGTGTCCCTTTGATGCAGCCCCTTGGTGCCACCAGAAGGTGACGGGCGCGGCTGCCCTCTGAAGAGCAGTGAAGCAGGCAGTTCTACACATACACCAAACTGAAATAAGGGACGCCTCAAATCCAGAAACCTTTGCAAAGCCCAAGCAAGCAAGAGACCCAAACCGCCCGCCAGGAGTCGTTAACGGGGCGTGTGAAGATCACTTCTTGTCAAGTCCAAAGTCAGTTTCTTGGGTTAAGAAGCCTGCAAAAAGCCATGGCATCGCTGGGCACATGTTCCATTTCTGCCCCAAACGGCTGACCTGCCAACGCCAATTCGCCGAGGCGCGGTCGGCACTCCAGGGCCTCATTTGAGGGTCCTGGGCCGTGCCAGCGGCTAAGGACTTGGCCACAAAAAGGGGCCATGGGCCACGTCCCTCTGACTCCCCTTGCGAGGCGGTCTTAGTCCACACTGGGAATGAACAAAATGTTGAGAAACCCTGGAATGATTTCAACCAACCCCTTTCATTTCATGGTGCAAATTGGATTTCGCAACCATACAGCAGGGGTTTCCTCCAAAACTCGCGAGTTTCCCCTCCCTTTCTCTGTCAAAACAACCCAGTCCCTTTTTTGGGGGGCACCGTTTCAGGTACCCAAAAGTTCGGGCCAAAAAAAATACAGTAACAGAACCCGACAATCAGTTAGGGTTTCAAGGGAAACCAAAAGACAACATGCTGGCCCTCCCCCCCCGGCAGGCGGCTCGCGCATACGGCTGGCTCCTGCGCCACCAGTTGCTGCAGCGCCTCGAGCTCCCGGAAGGCCTCGCTGAAGGGGGGGCCCAGCTGCGCGGAGCACACCACCTGCTCCATCCTTGGCTCGTAGAGGTTACACGCGCATATACACATCTATATATATATATATATATATATTTATATGGATACATGTATGCATGTGTATGTGTACATATATACGTGTATTTATATATATAGACGTATATACATATACATACGTATACACATATATACATTGATATATTTATATATACATATACATATATATATATATATACAGGAATAACTATACATATATATATATATATATTTCTCTCTCAGAGATATGTTCTTATGAAAAGCGTGTTTATGACTTATCCGTTGTATACAAACATTACTTGTGCATTGGGTGCGCCGTTTGCCATGGGTTTTGGGTGGACCCCTAAACCTGCCACATCTTCATGGGGGCTTCAACGTGCGTTTGCTTGAGGGGAGTGCCCAAGGAAAGCTAAAGGAAAGCCACCCGCCTTCGCCGCCTTCGTCCATTTGGCTTCTGGTGTCATGGCCCTGGATGTTTTTCTCAAAGGCTGATTGCATGGACCGAAAAACCAAGATGTCAGGGAAAATGATGTCAGACTTTGACGCCTTCACCCACCTTTCTCTATCTTACCCCTCATCTGCCTTGACGAGCTTGAAAGCTTCCAGCCCCTAGCCCAGGCCCTTGCCCTTAAACTGGAGCTCTCGTTCTATGTCTTGGGAACCGGCTCACGCATTTCGCTGCCGAAAAAGACACATCACGTCAAAGCAAACCAAAACACAGTACTATATACAGTACATCAAAGCCAACAAAATAGTACTGGCCGAGCGCGAAGAATTTACAATTAGATGGTTGCTTCAGGAAGAAAACCTTGGGAAAGCCCAAGGCGCACCAAAGGTCCCATGCCGCCTGAACTTCTGACAGTCGTCCGAACAATAGGGGGGACAAGAAGCTCACTTGTACCCCTGGTGAACATCAAAATAGGTGGCAAATGGATGTTCACCCACCCCAAAATGGAGCCATAGGTTCTGCCCCACCACTTCAAACGATCCAACCTTCGAGTCAGAGCGGCAGCAGCTCCGCCAAGGGCGGGCCCTGCAGCTCCCTCAGCACCTCCTCCGCCAGCTCCAGGTCCGGCCTCCGAAGACGAAAAACCGGAGCCAAGGCGAAAACACGGGCGGCGGTGAAAAACCTGAAAAGAAGCACCAAAAAACGGAGGTGAAAAACCAACCAAGAGGAAGCCAAAATAGATCAATACAAAAGAAAGCCAAAGTGAAGAAAGAGGAAGCCAAAGTGAAAAGCCAAGAGGAAACAAGCCGAAGTGAACAATTTCAAGGAATTCGAACGGAAACCGCATTTACTTAGCCATCAACAGGGAGCTGAAGTAAATCCGGGAACCAATCTTTGGATGATGGACGGCATGAAAGGACGTCAAATAACGCCACACTCCCACAGGCTTCATGGTTTCCTGTATGCAGCTGCAGGGATTCCAACCAGTCCGGTCACAAGTACATACTCAGAAGTATGCATGATTGGCTATTCCGAAGTTCTTCCTCCCATTGCAAGCCACAGAGAGGGAGTAATTCTCGTGGGTTGCCAGGGCTCTTGTTGAATTCATCCAGCCCGACCTGTGAAAGAGTGGGGGCGAACAGCCAACCCTTTCCGTAAAGGCCGTTTGCAACCAACCCAACCACCCCCCCCCGGGACAATTCAGAGCACATTACCCTGGTGAGAATCTCCAGTTTCGTGACCTCATCACGGGCCCACATTCCGTTGAGTTTCTCAGCCTGATCTCATACCTGAACTCCAGTTCCATGGCTACGCTCCTACCCTCCCTAGAAAACCCGACGCCCATAGGTCCACGAGGTCTAAACGGACGCAACCCAAACATGGAGATAAGCCGCCGTGTTCCACGGTGAAGTCTTCGCTTTAGCTGCCAGACGGCTTGCCCATGTTGGCTTCGGCCAAGGGGCGGGTCTGCTTGGAAGGCCACCTCGCCCACGGCCAATGCGGCCCGCTCCTGGGGAACGTCCGGCCGAGATCATTTCCACGCTTGGCACGAAGGGAAGTTGCAGAGGCCCCACCCTTTCGCTTTTATGAGTGTGATACACCACCGGACTGGCGGAAAAGGGGCAGATTCGCACACTGAGAGGCAGAGTTCCAGCCCTCCATGGAACAAATGCAGGACATGTGTCGCACAGGTGAGACTTCGAAGCCAATCGCAAGTGCAGAACTCTGATCCAAAAGTATAAGTTCGCCCACCCCTAAGGCACATTTGGCACTGTCAACATCTCTGCATGTTTAAACGTGACAACCGTCCATCCAACCAACCACCCACCCACCCACCCACCCACCCACCCACCCACCCACCCACCCACCCACCCACCCACCCACCCACCCACCCACCCACCCACCCACCCACTCACCAACCGACCAACCGACCAACCAACCAACCAAACCAAACCAACCCAACCCAAACCAACCAACCGCCCACCCACCCACCCACCCACCGACCCACTAACCAACCAACCAACCAAACCAAACCAAACCAAACCAACCCAAACCAACCAACCAAACCAACCCAACCCAACCCAACCCAAACCAACCAACCAACCGACCGACCGACCCACCGACCCACCAACCAACCATCCATCCAACCAACCATTCAGAAGTGAGTTTGGGTCAAAAGTACACACCAATTTTCGGGGCACGTTCAACAAAGGCTCACATGAAGCCAACCGCTCCCACCTATTCCGCCGGCAGACCCAACCTTCTCGGTTGCAGATTACAAGTGAGGCCCGGTCTCAAAACATCAGGTTCGGACCCCCCCAGAGTTTTTTCTACTAACCAATGTGAGGACACGATTGCGGAGAATGGCCTTTTCTGTGACAGCAAGATGGGATTCCCACCCTCATGCCTGCGAATGAACATGGAACCCAAACGGGCGTCACCTGAAGGAGGCTCCTCGTTTGAATTCCATGTGAATCAGGAGAGTGCTATGTCACTTCCGGGGATTCCCGAAGGGCTCACAGAATATAGCATCCCAAAACCGTGTTCCCACTTTCCTGTCGTTGGCTCCCTCAGCACTACAGGCAAACCAAGCCAAGCAAAAACTGGATGAAGCATCCCAGATTTTCTCCAAGTACCCCAACCCCCCCCCCCTTTCCGAAGAAAAAAAAAAGAAGGAAACAACTCCCCCCCCCCCCGAAAACACATATATCATAAGGAAGTACCCCACCCCAAGTTCCTTGCAGAAGGGCAGCCCTTGCAACCCCACCCAATCTGTGCCACAGCTTCTTTTTGCTTTTTTTTTGTGTTTTTTTGCGTGTCCTGCGCCGCGGAGAGCAAGAGACCCTCCTTCGGCTGGAAGAGGTTCGTGGCCTTCGGCGACTTTGGGCCCTTCCCCCCATGGGCTTCCTTTTGCCTCCCCCACCCGCCAGAAACCCGTTCCGACGACTCGTAGGAGTCAGCTTTGCAAAACAACAAGGCGTTGGACAGGAGTCAGCTTTGAAAAAATAAACAAGGCGTTGGGCACGAACAGAAGCCAACATGAGCCAACATCAAAGAATTCATGTCAAACACCTTCCTCATCTGCGTACACACACACACACACACCCCTGCTGGAAAGGTTGGGGGGCACCTTTCCTCGCACCAGTACGGCTCAGCATGGAGATCTATCTCCCCACACCAGCAGAATATGAGCCCATGCTGTTGAGCAATGCCGGTCGTTTGGTCCTGACAGAGTGCCGCAGAAAGGCCTGGAGTTCAGTCCACCGGGAATGTCACCAGCGGCACCTGAATAATATGTCCCTTTGAGTTTTGGATTTCACCATTCTGAGGGGTGCAGTACCGGATGGGAGAGCCGGCAATTCAGCTAGTGCGCTTCGGTGTCCTGGCCTCCTCCTGCTCCTCCTCCTCCTCCTCCTCCTCCTCCTCCTCCGGCTCTTCTTCCGGCTCCTGCGGCTGCTCCTCTTTGAGCGCCTGGCAACAGCAAGCCTGCAATCATTTTGTGGGTGGAGAAAAACCAAGCCACGCGTCCCAGTAGGGTAGCGATTTCCCAGTGTCCTGGTCGTGTTCCGGTCATACTGGCAGAGAAAATCCACGCCACGCAAGACTTTTTGCCCCAGTGTTTACATAGTGTTTTTCACAAGTGCGAAATGGACTTTGTCCATCCACATAGAGGGAGTCCGAAAATAGTGGCCCCACCAAATCAGTGCATTCCCTTACCCATCCACAAGGAGGCCCCTCTTGGGACAGAATTGACTCCTCGGGACTTGCAAGGTGGATTCTCACTCAGCCACCCAATGCTGGGATCTCAGCACAGCTTTCTGTTGATCTTTAATAGTTGACTGGGAACGCTACGAGAAAGCCGTTGCGGAACTCATGGAGCAACAATCGCACCGGTTCTATTTTGAGACACCTCTTATTCTATACCTCGCAAGCTACATTCAATTGGGTTGGCGGTAAAACTTCTCAGAAAGAGCGATCATGGCACCTGACAAGGGGTCCCTACAAGACGAAATTGATCGTCCACATACCTTCCCGCTATGCTAGTGGGAGCAAGCCTAGCGCATGAACAAGAAAACTGACCCTTCCCTCATGTTGCGCGTCTTGGCCAATGCGACTTGAAAGCGTGCTAGATGTTATTCCCCCAGCCAGCTACCACCGAACGCGAGGCGTCCAGTTGTGCTTCGGGGTCAAGTGTCATCAACAGCGAGAAACCTGTGTCTACTCTCCTCCCGCGAACATGGAACCTGCGAGACGGAAAGACATCGTTCCATGAAAACCTCTCATCCCAACTTCTTGTCGATAGGCTGGGATGAAAAGGATGCTCTGGTCAAAAGTCTTGTGAGTCAACCCATGATGACCACGTGCCCCCTCAATGAAGAGCTTCGTCCATCCTATGCTGGTCAGAAAGTGCTGCTCATCTCTCTTGAGGGGCATCGTGCTTGGGAAAAATATCGCAGAACAAGCCACTAGGAGACAAACCTAGCCAGCAGGTTTTGCAGCACACGGCCAAGAATGGAAACTACTTGGTTTTCAAAGCACACCCTTTAAGATGATGATCCTTGCTGAAAGGTGTGGGTTCTTGCCTCCGAAGAACAAACGAGTTCATGCAGCTATACCTCATAGACTCCCGTTGTGGAAGGAGGCAGCTGCAGCTTCTGCTGCAAGGCGCTGAAAGACACGAGAACTGTGGACCAAAATCCATTTCGCACCAGTTGGGATGGATAAACGCCATGGAACACTGGGGAAAATCATCTACCAAGTGCTTCGAAGTGATTGTCTCTACCAATTGTATCACCGGAACACCAGGACACCTCCGGGGATGGTGGCACTGCGAACTGCTACTCCACTGGGACGCTGGATACAAGGTAGGGGACACGAACAGCTGGGGGGGGGGGGGGGTTCGGACAGCTCCAATGGGCGTGTTTCGCTAGATGGGAACGACTGGGGTGGTAGGTGTGTGTTTGTGCTTGTTTGTTGGGGGGGATGCCGTTTACGATAATGACTTTGGCACTCAAAGGGCGAGGGGTGCCTGAACAGGAATTTCACTGAAGGGGCCCTCTAAATAATGTGGCAGTTGTTGGATACGTGGAAGCAAATTATGTATATATATATATAGGTACACGTACAACGGAGTAAACTGCCCATCAACAAGTCAATGATGACCACGCCAGATCCCCCAGCCCCACTAATGCGGCTCTAAACCAAAAAGCTAAACACCTAAGGAACCGGATGGCTGGGAACCACCAAGGAGGTTGGTTTCCGGCTTGATTCCGCTGGGCAAACGGCGCTTTCAGAGCCTCCTCCTCCTCCTCGTCTAGCTCAGCTGCCTGAGTCAAGCTAAGCATGGAGCAGTGCCGTGCAAAATAATCAAAACACGAGCGGAAGAAAAACGGCCTCTCAGGGAAACCATTGCCAGATGAACCTGTAGCATTCACTGGGCTTGAGGCGTGCCAGCCTTGCCCATCACAAGTGTGCACCGACCATGCAAGTCTATCACCCAAAACTCGATTTTCCAAAGCGGAGCCTCATCTCTAGTCAAAGGAAATTTGTCGACTTATAACGTAGCCAGACACATTGGCCTCTTTGGGACAATGGCACAAACTCAACGTTGGAACCCAGAAAACTGACATGGGTCAAATTGTCGGCTTTTCTCAACGTTCTCTTTTCAACAGCAACAGGAACTCCCGGCGTCCACCACTCCGAAGCCATCCGAAGGGTAGCGGAAGGCCAGCACTTCCCATTCCATGCCCGTTTTGGAGCTTTGAACCCTCTTTCCGAAGCTGGAGGATGTTCTTTCCGCATATCAACAAACCCACCGCAGGGTGCCCCAAAAAAGTGGCCACTTCCGGAAGTGGCACTGCTTCATTCAAATGGATCGGGGCGGGTGACACATGTCAACACTGTTGTGCTTGAAATCCCGTCCAGAAGCTTGTTCCCTCCCACCCCCGCCTTCACCGCCTGGTTTGTTGGAAATGAGAAATCCGAAATCCCTACCCCGAGCCCCCCCCCCCGGCCTCTAACAAGCTCTCCTGCAAGTCATCCAGGTCTGTGTCCTCGCCCCCAAAAAGCAGTTGGACCCGCCCCAGAAACAAATCAGCGGAGAGGACAACCATTTGATCCCCCGGGGGGGGGAGTGGTGCTCAGGTTCGTCTCCCTAGAATAGACATATATATATATATGATATCATTGTACAGCTCCATACTCTCGCGGTGATCCTTTTGCTGGGCTCTCCGTTTTTTCAGATCTGCTAAAATAAGTGACGAACTTGTAGGTTGAACACGGATTCCCGAGCACTAAACAACTAAAACCCAGACGCCTGGAAACCGCCAAGAGGTGATCAAGGTCTGTTGGTCCAAGGCATTCGGTGCGTAAACAACACGTCAAGAATGTGAACGCCGATTCCAGCTGAGTTTTGTAGGGATGTGAAATGAACTGGAACGGTCTCATTTAAGTTTACCCCCTTTTCTCTTTGCTTTGCATGAGAAGAGAATTTGGTGGTGGAGAAATGGGCATGCGTCAAAATTAAACCACCAGGGGACTGCAGGTTTTGGTCCATGGTGTCCATTTACCAGGATTCCATTTTGGCTATGTTTGACCGAAAGGGCTTCAGTGAGCAACCCAGCACCTTGTCCTCCGTTTGGGGGGGGGGGGGGAAAAACACGGAGGGGTCTAGAGTCCCAAGAGAGGGACGCACAAAAAAAGAGAACGTGTTTTGCCTGGTCATGATTGGCCAACACTAAACCTGCCATCATGCCATTGGAGCGGAATCTACACACTTCTACAAGGAGTACATGTGGAAGTTACGTGACACTGCAGGTCCTTTCTATGGTTTGGTCTATTCATGTGTTTGCTTGTTTTATCACAAACTGCTTGCTCGGTTCTGTTTTTGAGGGGCCCAAGTGCACTGGACCTCCTTGAATGCCATTCATGGGCTTCTGTCAAGGGATTGATCAAGTCTAGCTGGGGCCCCAAAACATGCAACCTGCATGCCCATGTTCTTTTTTGAGGGTGCCCCTTTTTTGGGGTTTTAAAAGGAAGACCAAAAGGAAAACCGCATCTTTGGTGGGGTCCCCCAAAGATGAACCCCCCAATTACATCAGCCACCTAAATCCCAGACTAAGCTTCTTGCGGCTTGTTGCGCTCGTAAAAAGTTCTTGGTTCAAACGCTGTCCTGGTCGGCCAAGAGCATCTCGACGCCTGGCCAGGCGAAACCAGTTGCGCGGCCTACCCAAAGGTGGAGCTACCTGCCGAGAACTCTCCGCCTGGAACTATGGGCTTGCCATCCAAACCTCGGGTTTGGTTTTTGGGGGAAACCTACAAATTGATTCGGGGTGTTGGTTCTCATGGTACAGAGATGAGACTTGGCATCCGTGCGTCTCGTGATGCAAGGCACGCATTCACGTCTATGTGCCTTCATACCAAAACAAACGTAGATGTGCATGTGAATGTATATAAACACATGTGTATGTATAGATATATAGTGGGGTGGGGTGGGTGCGTTCAAGATTCATTAGGGCACATCCTAGGCAGACCTATGCTGCAAGAGAAAACCCCACCCTCTTGGAACTCTTCTGGAACAAAAGCAACCGCATCTCTCCAGAGAAAATTGCACGGGCTATTGGTGTGGGCACCTAGACCACATACCCAGGGAACTACCCGGAATTCTCTATCATTGCGCAAGTTGTCTATGGCAAACCCTGACTCGGACGGACCCAACATGCCCCTATGCCTCCCTCATCCTAGCCAACCAGGGGGCAGAAACCACCCTACATCTGAAGTCTTGAATGTTCAACCGCCATACCCGGCTCAAAATTGGGGGCCGGGTTTTTCTTGAAATCAACCAAGAGCAGGCCATGAAAATGAACTCCGTTCCTTTCAAGTGCTCACTTCCTGAGTTGATTGGCCCAAAAAGCGGTTTGAACTGCTTGTTTACCACCAAACTGATCTTCCCAAAAAGTGACTGAAGCCCGAAGCGGAACTCAAGTGAGAGTGCCAAACACCCACCCCACCCGATCTCTGGTCCCTTCCGGCCTGGCTCCGGTGAGGTGTTTCGAACCAGGCCCCAGACCTCCCGGCGCAGCGCGCCGGACGAGACGCGCAGCATGGCGCGGAGGGCGTAGTCCCAGGCGTCCGCGCCAGTGGCCTGGCTGTGGGGGAATGAGACCAAGGTCAAATCGTCGATTTGGGCGTGCGATGGAACAAAAAGGAAGGCTTTAAAGGAAAACCCAAGGGGCAATCACCATTTGTGGGGGATAAAACATGACGCGTTCACTTGGATGTTCAAGCTACGTCTGGTAGGTCATCACCACGGAAGCTCTGCTACGACTAGGCTTACTCCCCTGACCCGCGGTTTGAACCAAGTGGTGCGTTGGCCCTTTACATCACGCTGGCACCAGAGGCGTTCATGCCTGGCCCAAAACCCTGCCAGGGCTCCTTTCCATGGTGCCCGTCGGGCGAATCTGCTGCAACTCTTGAGATAAAGACGCTCAACCACGAGCACGACAGCCACCTCAAGCACACGACTTAAGTTGGTTTGAGAGTGGCGTCATGGGCGCTGTGGACATCGATACCAGATGTCGTTAAACCAAACCCAAATGGGGCCAAATCGCAGTGGGGCGCTGGGATATACTATCTGTCTTGCTTGGCGAAAATACGAGTTGGAAAGTGTTTCACTCTTATGCATGTCCCAAGCACAGGAAGCGTAGAAAGTGAGAAAGCTCATCATGTTGGAACCAAGTGACAGTAGGCGCAATCAAACCAAGTGCAATCAACCAAACCAGTCTCAAAGCAATGAAATCAAACAATCAATCCAGAACTCAACCAAGCAAAACAATCAATCAAGCGACAGTTGTACCAGCATATGCGCCATGAATCCTGTCTACGGGTACCAAAGAACTCTGATACTCCAGATGTATATCTTGATGTCCTGCTTGCAGGCCGAGTATTCCGACCCATCACTCGAATGTGTCACCTGCTCCACCGCTGCGCGCAGCGCGGCGACATCCTCAGCAGCAACCAAGGCATCCAGCTCCTGGCCAAGTGAAGTTGCACGACTGGGATCGAAGTCACCCCCTAAGCGGTGGGTTAAAGGGACACAGCCAGAAACCCATTTTCTGACTTTGGCCATTTCCAGAAACCGTCAAAACAATGAGCCCAGTCAGAGCAACAATCCCTCGTTTGGGGGGGGGGGCCTGCAAAAAGCATCGGCAATACGCTTGCAGAAACTGCAAGCAGTGATGGCCTGATATCGAAAGAGGTGCCCTTGGCATGGTCAAGGGGCATACAACATGAACCCCACCCAGTGGCAACCATGCTACGTTCCCTCCTTCAGGCCCCACCTATATCTTGTTTTTAGGGGACCAGACAAATGCGTGGTTTTCTTTGGTTCAAACATCCAAGTGGTACCCTTTTTGAACCACACACATCCGACTGTCTTTAGAAACCTCCAACAGCCCCAGCTGTCCGGCCCCTTGTGTCGGTCCTTTCGAAGCTGCGGCAGACCTCGCTGCTCGTCTTTCTCCACCGATCTGCGAACAACCGATCTGACCGCCCGCAAGATAGAAACGCCCCGCATGGGGCCCTAGTTAAAAAAGAAGAAACCAACTTGAGACTTGCCGTTGAGTTGAGTCCTCTCCTGTCCAAAACAGCACAAACACAGACAAACAAAAAGAAAAAGAAGGGAACTTCAAGCAAACGTACTTGGGATTATGTTGCTGCTGCAGGCTCACTCAAGGCGCCTGCAAACTCCTGTTGCCTTTCCAACCCTTGATATGGTAGCAACCAGCTTTGCTTCTTGCAGCCCCCTAAACAAGAACACAACAACAACAACCAACACCTAACATGGCAACAACCGTCAAGTTACATTCCCCGAACTGCCAACCGTGGGCATCTCTACTGTTGACCCCGTATTAATAAGCCCCTGTTTATTGATATGGGGGGTGTTGTTTTTGCAAAAGTGATAAATCCCGAAAGCCAGAAATGGACACCCCCCATATTAATAAACAGGGGAAACACCACCATATTAATAAACTGGTTGGTTCATTCATCCGGGGTAAACAGTAGAGGCCCGTCAAGTCAAGCCCCGGCCTCCAGAGCTTCTTCCAGATCTGCACTCGGCCTATAGGCTTCCTCACGCTCGCTGCGATCACCTCGGCCCGAAGGAATCGGTGTCCTCCGATCCCCTGCGATAAGTCGACTTTTGGGGTGAATGCAGAAACTACCACTGGTGCAGGGAGGCTTGTTTTGGTTGTTTCTTGTTTCTCCTTTTTTTAAAGGGTAAACCAGAAGGAACGCCACCTCTATCCTTTTTTTTTTTTGGGGGGGGGGAGGGGTCCCCAACAAAGACACCCCCATTTTTGGACACAAACCGATCTAAGCTGATGCCAGGAGAAAACTCACGACCGTCGCAGCTCGTTGGCGGACATCATTTACATGATGCCCCTGCATTTTTTTCCCGGGGGGGGCGGGGGGGGGACGTCCATATTTTGGGGGGGCAACCCTGCAATTAAAAGGGATGACCAATTTGGGGCGGGCATCTCCACAGGGTCCAAAAGCTCAAATTCATAAACTGCATCCCTTGTGCTAAAGCCTTGAACCTCAACCCCTGAAAACATAAAAACAGATGAAAAACAGTTTGGCTGTTTTTCAGCCCCGGGAAAAAACAAAAAACGAACGAACACCTCTGAATCGACGTGCAAATCCATCCCTCCAAAAACCAAAATTCCACGTGTGGGCCATGGAAGCACCGCAGCACCCCCCGCCTGCGGACGCTGGAAGCCCGCCTTCCTCGACATCTTGCACATGGTGTGGTACACCTTCCTGGCGCCAAGTGTGGCACCAGGAAACCCGGAAGAAGACCCCCTCCCCCCCGATTTTTTGGGGCCAGACCCCATTTTTTCAGGGGGACCCTCTTTCTTTTTTTTTTGGGGGGGGGGGGGGTGACCCCCTTTTCTTTTTTCCCCAGATGGCTGAAAGCTATAGGGGTTCTAACTTCTACTCAGAGGAAAAAGTGATTTGCGAGATTCACGGCTGGGTGCCAGGGGGCACACAATTTGGGATGCTGGATTGACGGCGTGTGAATAGTGCTGCTCTGGGGGGCTGTTTGAGGTGCTGGCGACGGCGCTGGGAGCTGTTCGGGGTGCTGTTGGAGGTGCTGGTGACGGTGCGGGCGTGTTGTTGCGAGATTGACGGGAAGAGGGGGCATGCAGCGTGGAGTGCTGGCGCAGGTGCAGTTTTTCGCTATTTGCGGTCCATGCTGGCGTAACTTTGTGGTGTTAACGGAAAAGCACGAAGGACTGCTTGGCTGGATGGAAATCGATGGGGTGCCCGGGTAGGAGCGCGTCTCGTTTGTATGCCTGTGAAATTGCAAAGACGCTTCTTCTTCAAGCTGCACCAGGGAAGAAAACATGTGCTGAAACAGAGACCATTTCCAGCTTCTGGCCTCCCAAATCTCCAGTATCCCTTTCCTGGGGCCACAACACCGAGATGCAGAAATCGACGTGGGGAGAGCTGCTGCAATTTGCGCTTGTCTCGAAATGGGCAAAGCAGCGGCCCCCAACCGTCGGCCTGAGCCAGGACATCAATGGCTATATAGAAGCCACGATGAATGTGGAGACTCACAAGGGAGGAACCATCTGCATACATAATCATATATATATATATATGATATATATATATATATGTTATATATAATATATCAGCAGGTGCGAGCACAATAATTCGCATGACTGTGAGAACAACCTTCCCATATCCCTGCGTTCCCGGATTGGAGAGATAGCCTTAGTTGTGTCTTTTCCATTAATTCTGCAGGTGCGCAACGACAGCCTGTGGACTTCAAATAAATGTGCCCTTGGAATCGAAGACATACGATTGCTGTTTGTCTTGTCTGGAAAGTCTATAGTGCCTCTCGCTTCATCCCGTGTAGTTGAGGTCTCTGCCTTGAGGGAAACCGGCCATGTGTCTTCAATCCCACACGTGCGTGCAGACAGCGCAAACACAGGGGCAGCTTGCGCCGGCACCGCCCCATAATTCTCTCAAAGATTCTCAGTCACGGCAAGATCCATCGCCATGGCTAACAAGATTGTATGACTCCGTGCTTTGGTCCCGGTTGAATACACTGGCAAAACCTGTTTCCGCAAAACCCGCAAGGCCCACTGCACGTCTCTCGTCGACCTGATGAGGTCGTTTTTGGTGATGACCTCAGCTCTCGTTGCCAGCGGCTCGGCTGGGTCGTTCTTCTAAATCTTTAAGGGCCAAAAGATCTGAGAAAACGGAATCACTGACCATGTTGCCTCTACAAACTCTACATCTCTAGGAGCAGCGAAAGCTGATCCCAATATCAGCCATACATCCCTCCCAGGTGAAAGCTTCCTGCCCGCGATGGGGATTTCTGGACCCTGGCTCCATAGAAAGACCTATACGTGGATATGCTTTTTCAGAATACCTGTTTCGGAGTGGGTTTAACCTGAACCAAAAGGGAAACAACCTTCGAAGGTTGTATTTGGAGACAACCCAAAGGCTCCCTGGCTCCCGCATCATCCGCAGGCACAGCCGAAACAAATACTCCAAACTGAACCAAGCCTTAGCCCGACCAATTCTTAAACCACCAGCAGGGGCCCTGGCACCTCGAACCTGCAATCTCCATGTTTGAGGGTCATTGGCCATAGGTGTCTTGGAAAAACCGATGGCAATAGTGACTGAGAACCAAACTGAAACCACTGCCATCATTTATCAACTAAACTCATAGCTACGCAGAATTACATCCTCGAATCCTGTGAGCCCGGTGCTCAAATAAGGAAGAAATGGGAAGCTGACCCTTACCAACCTCAGCTGCCAATAGCCGCTCGAAGCTTGATTCATGATAAGAGCGCTTTGATGGCGTCATTTGCACCAACGCTCTCACAAGGAGGGCCGTTGACAGGGCCAGAAAACATCACCAGCCCATTCGTTTTGGAGAAATAGATGGCGCTGGTAAATGAAACTGAAACCCACACCGGACACCTACATGATCCTGGATTGGTACGCTGGTCGCCGAAGCTTAGCCCGCAGCCACTGTGTAGTTCAGCTTCCTCTCCCGCTGGTAGCGGCAGCCCATCTCCTGGCTTGTTACATTGTTCTATTCACGTGCCAAGTAGTGTGCAACTGGATTGGGTGGGCAAGTGTACAGCAACCCAATGTTGGTGACCTCCGACCCAATAAACTCAGAGACACATGAACACGCGACTCTATTTTTTTGCGGTGACCAAACTCTGTCTGCAAGCTGCACCAAAGGCCAGAACACGACTTGCTGGTTTAGTTGCCGAAACCGCACGTGGTCTTTCGGCGCTCTAACATAAGAAAACAGATTGACGGAATTGAGCTCATGCCAGCGTTAGGTGTTGTGTGTGGGCCCTCTCTCATGCAGGGCACCAACCTTGTGATCGTTTAACTGGAAGGCTGACTGAAACTCGGGACTGCGGCTGTTCAAAAGACATCCAAAACGACCAGCTCAACGTCTGCAGGAGGAAAACGCTGATGTGGAGACCAAATGCTCAAACCGAAACTTGCCCTTGCCTCACCCCCTCCCCCTCCCCACCATGACGGCCATGTCCAAGGAAGAAGGCCGGCCATTCTTCAGGAGGATCTGGCCGCTCCACGGGCAAGTCGTGTGACAGCCCGGACGTTGGCCGCTGTGCTCTAAACGGATTTGAGGTTTGTAGCTATTCAAAAAGCTGGCACACCAGCCCTGCAGCAAATGAAGGAAAGTATGCCCCCTCCCCCAAGGCTTAGTGACCCTCCGTGACCCTCCGTGACCCTCCGTGACCCTCCGTGACCCTGCGGAGGATGGCCATAGTATAAGTGCATGGATGCTTTGAACCCTGCTTGTCCCTGAGAATGATTCTTATTTCCTACATCCGGAACTGTTTTTAGTTGGAGAGCATTCCTTTATTTTTCAGCAAGAAAATGGCGTCGAACAGCGGGTTCCTTCGCCCCTGGTCTATGACGCGTCCACTAGCCCCTAAACCGCTACATACCCCTAGAGGTTTTGTGGGACAGCCGCAAAATAGACAATCAATCCCCCGTTTCTCCTGCAAGTGGTTCGGGCGTGAAAGCACGCTTGCAACCAAGCCTTGGACTTCTCTCCGTCAGAATTGAAGGGCTGAGTTGTCAGAAGGTGTCTTGCGAATCGGACCCCCCAACACGGTGTTCCTGGCCTCAAAAAAAGGGCGTTGGTTTCCTTTCTAACCCGTGCAGGGTTTGAGTCATGCTGCTGCCAAAAAAGCCCACGTGTCCATAGGCTTCAAAGACCCGAAAAACTCGACGCTCGCGGCGTTTAGACGCCTCACAGCTGATGAGGTGGAAGACTTGCCGGAGGTTGCCGCCGCGTTTCTGCAGGTACCTTTTGGTCTGTCACAAGAATCGTTTGAACTTGGCCCTCATTCAAAAATGGACATGACGCCGACTCTTAGAAGGGAAAGCTAACTGACACATGTCCATATCCATGTGTATGCAAAAGGCTCCCTGTGGCGCTTTTTCGCAGGGGGGGGGGCTTCAAAAGGAACTGATTTCTTGGCTTGGTTTGGCATGTGGGTGCTTTCTTTGGGGGAACCCCGAAAATGGTGGTTTTCCTTTTGCTTCCCTTTAAACCAACCAATCTAACCCAAAACCTGGCAAGGATAGAAGATGCGCACGCTCGGGTTCGGTATGGGTCTGGTCGGCAACGACCTTCACTTTCCGGCAGCAAATCACGCAAATGACGCTGTCGCTGTGGAAAGCTCGGAACCAACCTCAAACCTCCAGGACGTTCAATGAGAAACCCGAACAAGTAAAGCAAGTAGATGCAGGTAGACGTACCCTTGGGACAGTCCCCATGAAAGAAGAGGGTAGCCCTCTCAAGTCAACCAGTCATCTGTGCGCGTACCCCTTGCCACCCCCCCAAGTCTGTCCCAGGGCACATGTCCAGAGTCATCTGCCAGTGCCTGCCAAGCTGGAAAACCAACGGGCCTTGCGGGGCTCTTGCGCAGGGACAAATCGACTCTCCGTTCCTCGACTTCTCGCAATGCGAACATTCAATCTCACATGTCCCATGGAAGCGAACGCAAGCACCCTGCTTCGCAGGCGGCTCAACGGACCAACAACAAAAAGGAAATGCACCCAACAGGAGAGGAAACACACACCCAAAACTCCGGAAGGAACAAACCACCCAACCATCCAACCGCCCAACCGAGGCGAAGCCCTCCAAGCTCCAAACCTCAAAACCCCACGTGCCTCATCTGGGCATCATCGGCCATGGCCTCCCCGAGGCCTGGTACCTCTGACACGCAAGCATCCGCCTCAATTGAACTGAACCTGAAACCAGGGGATCTGAGAAAACACCTGAATTGAACTGAAACCTGGAACAAAATATGCTCATGTGCAATCAATTCAACAACCCTGGTTGGTTCGTTCATTCAAATTGGCCTCGCGTGCGCAAAGCGAAGTTGCGAGAACGCGCACGTCCACCAGCGTCATCTGAGGAAAGGCCGGCAACCGCTCGTTGATGGTGTAGAAATGGAACTGGGTCCTCGGAGCGATTGGCTCGATGCGACCAGGATGGAACGCTGCGCATTTCATGCAAGGCACAAATTCAGTCCAAGGCTTTGGTGTGAGCGTCGCAGGCAGGGAAACATGGTTTCCGATTTCAAATAACTGCCCTGGGGAACATGCTTGCCAGCCTGAAACTTCAACGCCCACAGTGCAAGAATGGGGGAAATCCCTTTTGCGCAATGGGTTTCTTTCCCAATTTGGGAACCCCCGGCTGGTGGCAACAAAAAAGCTGCACCTTCCAAACACATCTCTCGCCCCAATCCTGGGCCCCCCCGCGTCTTGCCGGGCATTTTGGACACCGGCGCCACAGCCTCAGACGAGCCGAAAGTCGCGGAAGTTCCGCGACGCCGTCTTCTTTGTGCACTCCTCCCTTGTGAGATGTTCATGTGTTTCGGCTCCGCAGGCTCGAAAAATTGTTCTGATTGCTCTGTTCATAAACCATAAACAATTGCTCTGTTCAAGATCTGTGGGAAGCATCCTGTACAAGATCACTCGGAAGGAAATCTTTCCAGGTCCTCCACAAGACCTCCTCTCAATGTTCTGGAGCGTTCCAACAGGCCCAAAGCCCGGAGAGGGTGCACCAATCCGTCATTTCTGGAATTCGCACGGCACCACGGCGAGAGCGCACCCTAGAAAGATACCAGAGCGAGAGACGCCTGCAAATCTTGCCAAGAGCCCGCGCTCTTATCCTTCAAAGAGTCTGTGAGGATCCTCGCATAAACATTTTGCGCTGGTGCTTCGTAGATTCATTTTGGGGGTCCCACAACAAAGACACACTCATCTATGAACCTGGGATTCTGCCGCTTGCTTGACCAGAAGGCAGTCTCACAAGCCATTGAAGCCTGAAGCCATGTTCACCGTCACCGGAAGTTTCTTTCCCCGGCCCGGTGCCCCCGATTTTCACCCGGACAATGGTGTCCCAAGGGTCCGACTTGGTCAACCTGACCAAGTGGGTCTGTAATTTGTGTACCCCTTGTAGTTTTAGTTTGGAAAGCTATAAGGATCCCCGTTTGGCCATTTGGGGGGGTCCCTTAACCTAAAAGACGAGCCAGCCATATCAAGCCAAGGAAAGGGGTCCAAATCCCACAAGAGACACACCCACATGGTGGGGCTCAAGGGAAACCACCCCCATTGAAGAATAAAAGGAAAACGCAAGACGTTCACATGGGAGCCAGAAGAAGACTTACTTGGAGCCGGGCGCTTCGGTGCAGGAGAGAGTTGATCAGCGAGCTTTTGCCCACGTTCGACCTCAGAGCGGAAATGTCCGCAAAACTGGGGCCTTGCGTCCCGAGCAAACGCTCCAAAGTGCTGCGTCTGCGAACAACCGTCTGATGTCTTGTCCACTGGCCAGTGGAGATATTTCTCCCTTAAACATCACGATACTAGCTGGCGCACTGAATAAGGATTAGGGCTTGGCCAGCAGTTCTTTGATGCTTTGATTGATGATCTGTGACTCTTGTGGCAAAGTACGCATCTGCATCCCTGTTGTCGTGTGCATATTGTGTTTGGTGCATATATATATATATACACACTCGTACATATATGGTCACCCCCCCTTTCTGCCGACCCCCCCCCCACCTTTTAGTAATCATGCCGCTGGCGCTGACGCTGCCGCCGCCGCCGATGCTGCTGCTGCTGCTGCTGCTGCTGCTGCTGCTGCTGCTGCTGCTGCTGCTGCTGCTGCTGCTGCTGCTGCTGCTGCTGCTGCTGCTGCTGCTGCTGTCATTCACATACTTACGTTGTGCCTGAACTCACACACACACACCAGTGTTGTTGAGCATTTTGCCGACGCATTCTGCTGAACACTCCTTGACAAACAAACTACACACACTATAAGCCTGAAACGGAGTCGTGTGTGAGTTGACGTTCTGCAATGTCAAAAAGCGTTGCCCCGCCAATGTTTTATTTGATGCTTAGTATTAAAAACAAAGAAAAGAAAACAGTAGCAGCATGATGCCCAGGACAAAACCGCAGCCTGCTGCAAAACAGCACATCAGATACAACCAGCATGAAAATCATAGTTGGAAGGGGAATCATGTGTTCCCTCAAAAATCGCTTAAGCGTTGAATCAAATTGGTTTAGACCATATGTGTTTAATAAAAAAAAAGAGAGACATATTCAACTCCTATCTTTCAAGGCTAATTGAACTATGTTGCCTGTGTTAAATTCTGTTTAAGTTCTACTTTGCAAACACAATTGAACTCAAACCCACTTTGGGAAGAAACTCATATTTGGACATGGAGGACTCCGGGCTCCGAATTGTGAGGCTTCGGGCGTCCAATTGAGAAAAACATCAAGGGCTGAGAGGTCCAAATTCTAGTAAATTACCCTCCCACCAATTAACATGGAACTTGATAAACGGTCCCTTCAAAAGGAAAAAGTCTTCCAGAACCCCCTGTCAGGTTGCATTTTAACTGGGGTGAGGATTGCTGTAAAGACTTGATTGGACAACGCATATTTCATTCTATCTCAGAAGGCGGAGCTAGATGAGCAGATGCGGAAAGGTAGTTCATGGATGAAGGGGGACGGGTGAGTACACGTGTATACATATATTTATTTATTGCCTGAACTTAAGATGTTGCTAGTGGGAATGTAGCTAAAACAAACGAGAAAACGTACGAGCGAACGCGCGACTGCCCGAAGGAGTCAGCATACACGAGTAGGCGTGCCCGTCCATCCGCCCGCGCACAGACCACCTGTGAGAAATACGGCCTAATTCTTGTGAAATAAGGCCGCATTTCGCAAACAAGGGCCTTATTTGGCCAAAATAAGGCGCTACGTCTGCTCCGGTGGTTTCTGTGCAGAGGGACATGCGCACGAGTTAAAACACGCAAGCGCACGGGCGAGTGGGCGTGCGTGTGAGCGCTCGAGCGTTCTCCATCACAGGCGCTGGTACACTCGCGCGCTCGCGCATCCACTCGTGCGTGCACGTTGGAGGTAATTTAACACATATACAGGGAACCCCTTTTGCCGGGAAGTGTGCCCCAGTTGTAAGATACTGTAAAATAGAATGTGTTTGAGCATGTGTTATGCTTTTGGAAACGAGAATAAAATAAATTAAAGACAAATGACAAACAAAACGTGCTCCAAGGTGGTCGAAACTCCTGAAATGTTCTGGGCTGAATCGATGATTGAATATTGAAAATTGCACAGACATGTTCCCAGCCTGGATCAAATCTTCAAAAATATGATAAAAGTGCAATCTTCAATCTTCGATCCAGTGGAAAACACAATTGAATCTTTGCTTGAAATGTGTTATAGCGTTTTGAGGTTGCCTGAACCTACCAACTATGCAGGACTTTGTCCGCCCACAGTATGACTGGCTTTTGGGCTCAATCACAGGAGCTTGTGTCACTCTATAAAATCGGGCATTGGCACAGGCATGTTTGTTCTGACATTCGAATCTTCGACGCCAAGTCCAAGGAGCAAGGAAACAAGGACTGGGCTGAAAGCATTCACATGTTGAGCTTGAGTTTTGCAAGACGGGGTTGCCAGCTACAACGGGCTTGCCCTGCCACATTTCTAAGGTTTCCAAGGTGCAAACGGGCAAGCCCCAGCGCCAGGCACGCGTAAACGACTCGTGCTAGGAGCCTGCATGTTGTCTCAAAGTAGGGACCCGCCCCCGCCCCTGCCCCCCGCCTCTCTTTAGTTTCCCTGCAAAACAAGATGACGCGGACATAGGATAGTGGCAGATTCAGCTCAGTTCCTCTCCCCATTCGTCAAACCCGTAGGTTCAGTGTACGGAATTGAATGCGAGCGTTACCTTTGTCAATAGCCCATCTACACATGAATGGTACTTTTGGTAAATACCCATGGAAGGTGCCCCTACACATCGGCCTCCTGTTCATTGATCTCCTGACAAGGACAACACACAGACTACACATGGCAGAGTCGGGGTATTGGTTCTGTACATCGGCTCGGAGGCCTGGTCGGCCCCACAAAACAACAGGAGACAACTTGTGGCAGGGCTCAGTGATGCCACTGTCTTATCACGCTTGTCACTCAGCTTACACCCAAACCTCGGCCCGTCATTGCTCAGTTGGGCTCTTTTCAGAGGGTTGACAAAGATACATACGGGTTTGTCACCCCAAAAAATGAGGTCCCCAAACAGTTGGTGTCCTGTGGACTCCCTTTAAAACCAACCAAACACGGGGCACCAGAAAATTAAGGACACACGTTCCCATCAACCACCCGCAATCCAAGCGAGAGTCGGGGACCCCGCCAACCCAGGAAAACCACCTCGGGGAAGTGGGGCGGCGGCATGGTGTGGAACCTGAGATGCGGAGCAAGCTCCTTGAATGGGGGGTTTTCCCGCTCTTGTTGGATCATGTTCATGCATTCAGCATACCAAGAGCTGGAAAACCGAAGAAAATAGCACAGAAACCCCAGCAAGACAGGTGGTCCTCCAACCCTTTCCCCCTCATGGTACGAATTGCCAACAGCCCGGTACAAGCCGGTAGTAGGACAACAAGGTCTACGGTCCTTTCGGGCGATTGATCTCGAGTCTGATAAAACCCCCGACGACACGGAAGGCACCAGAGATGGTAAAGGCTAGCCCCGCATCAAGCTTGGGCTCAAGACCATCTAGAAACCTTCACTACAGCTGAAAAAGGGGATCTAACAGGCCTTCCGCTTTTGCAAAACCAAAGATTGCACTTTTGGATTCCGTCCCATATTTGGGTGTCTCTTCTTTTGAGGGTAATTCCTTTCTCGTGGCGCTTCAAAAGCAAAAACAACCTCAACACGCTCCACGTTCGGGGGGTTCGAATCCCAACAGAGGCGGGACCGGGGCCCCCGGGCGAGTCCACCACGCTGCTGAGGTGCACCGTGGCGACCTGAGAGCGAGACGCTCCAAGGATCTTGCGGTTTTGGGGAATGACCGAGGGCGGGGTTTTGGGAATCGACCGGTTTCGGGGGATTCCCTGAAAGGAAACCATCGAAGACCCGGGGATGTTGTGTTTTTTTCTCTTTTTCCGGGGTCGTTCCATTTCTCTTTCCCTGCTGGAAACAACCAAGTCTTGGAAAGCCTTTCTCTCTCTCTTTCGTTTTTGGCATAAGATGCCTACCATGTGCTCAACCACTCCGACTCCGGGCAGCTCCGAAAGGCTCCCTCTAAGGCGAGTCTAGATCCAAGCTTGGCTCTCCTACCGGCTTCCAACCCATTTTCGAGGGTCCTTCGAACTCATAGTCAAGACCAGATTTGATCAGCTTGGGGGGGGGGGGGGACACCACTTCAGGCCCCTTGTTCTGAGTTCAAAATTTGCAGCAACCTGAAACAGGACATGGACCATAAAAAGAACCCTGAGGTTGCAAACCTGCACCACTGGAATTCTGGGAATGTGGTGCCTGACAATGGAAGAGTTCTCACCGGCACATATGCCCTCAGCTCGCGGACCCGGCATCCTGAGACTTTTGAGAGCCTAAATCAGACCTGGCGCCATTCTTGCATCAAAGCCACCCCCCAAGTCATAGACAGGGCAACCACCAACCAGTTTGTGTCTTCCCCCAAAGCAAAAACCAACAACAAAATAAATGACAGCAGCCTCACACGTGACGAGAGTTTTGGGCAGCCCGGCACCTGCTCGGGCCACGAACTCCACAGTGCCGTGGTCCTGCGTTTTGGTCGCCGCAAGGAAAGGACCCCGTACGAATCAACCCAGTTCGAATCAACCCCAGTTTAATAGCGGGTTCCCCTCCAAAAGTGACGATTCAGGGACGGACAAAACTGGGGTTGATGAATTAATACGGGGTCAACATAAAGAACCTAAAAGACAAAACCTCTTGGTGGCCGTACGGGAACTATATAAAAGGACACCCCGCAAGCTGTTCAACACTTGACCAACCCTTTTGGATCCAAACTCCTGCGTCACTCCCCGAAAAGGAAGCCTTACACACGGCCATGGGAGAAACCGAAGCGGGCATGGCTCCAGGGCTTCCGCGAAGAGAATTCCATGGACCTGAGACGCTCGAAGTTCGTCTCCGCACATTGCGTGATGCTCCTTGGAGTTCCATGTTAAGGTTGACCCCATGTTCTTTCCAACCCCGGTTTAACAGGGGGGTGGGGCCCATCCAAAAGTGGCCTGACACCAAACCCAGGGACACCCCCTACGATCAGAGTCCGGGTCCGGCGGCACCCAACAGGCGCGCATGGAGTCGAAGACCTCTCGAGACGGACCCACGGCTGTGAGCTGACTGGCTTTGGTTTGGCCCAATCTGAAGAAGAGATTGGAAAACATCGTCTTTCTGCCTGCAAAGTGGTCCCTCTCTTAGATAAGGTCCTTCCTTTCCCGCCGCGGGGCGCTACTGTGCATGCACTATCTATTGCACTCCAGCCAGCCAATCCAGATACCAGCATATTATGTAGCGCCCCCAGATGAGATTTGCCCCAAGCTGGCAGTGCAAAAGCCGCCAACTTCTTGGCAGTCACTTTCTGTCCCTTCCGAAAAATCCTGCCGGACCTTTGCAGGTGCTTGAGGCCTTTTGCTGACAACAAGAGGCAGAAAACTGGGCCCGTTTGTGTGTCCGTGTGTCTATTTGGGTGTCTCTTTCTTTGAGGCTACCACAAGGAAAGCCCATGTCTTCTTCTTGTTATTGGGGGGGGAGGGTCCAAATCCCTAAAATACGACACTCATACAAGTAAAGGTGCTTTTCTCACCACACTGTCTCCGACCGTGAAGGAGGAGATCAATGCTAAATCCATGGAGAAAGGGATGGGTACCGATGGATGTTTTCCATCGACAAAGTGACCGAATTTTGTCCAAGTGGCCTGTCTATTTTGAGGGCCCATTTTGGGGTGGCTCCAACTCATGACCTCCCAGCGTTGAAAATATATTTCAGCAGAGAGACAGAGAGAGAAAGAGGGAGAGACCTTTTAGTGTTCCAGGTGTGCAAGAAGTCAAAGTCAAAGCTGGGCAACTTGCCGACAGTACAAATGCTATCAGACCTGGGTAGTTGTTGTAGCCCGCAGCACGTTGGAAACTGAAACCAAGTCATAAAAATCCAAGTGATGCTTGTTGCGCGCCTTCATTGACGCCTCAATCTGATCTTTGCATTTTTGGTAACTTGGCAGGCCTCCAGGTTTCTGATCGCGCGGCATTTGGCCTACGAGACTTCTTTTGTGCAAGATTTGAAGGATTGTTTTCCTAGGTTCTGCTCTGGCGGGTGGGTTGCAGGTTGGGTTTGGCTCAGGTTTCGTTTGGTGTGGCCGTCAGCGAGTGCTTCTTTGAAGGTGTGATCACAAAAGAGTTGCACAAAAATGGGGCAAGATCAGGTCTTACAGATCGTAAAGTTCAAGGTGTAATTTGAGCCGGCTGACATTACTGACCAAGCGTTTACCAAAGGAGGCACTGTTGTTTGGTAAGCATGGGTCATGGTTGTTCACACGGACAAAAAGCAAGGATCATGAACCGTTAAAGATCCTGCAACCAAAGTCACGTGATCCCCGGGCCTGGAAGACGCCAGCTCATGTTTTTCGGGCGCTTTCACACAGTCAAAGCTGGTGGAGCCAGAACTCATGGCTGATGCATGCATACGGCTGCATTCACGATTCATGTATCCATGTATGCATGCATGAGTCCGTGAAACATGCACAGCCATCTGTGTATTCATTCATTCGATTCATCTATCCATTCATCCATGTATGCATGGCGTACATGCATACATGGTTGCATGGTACGGTGACGGTACGGGACGGGACGGTGGATGAATGGCATTTATCACGTGGGCGCGTAGGCACGGTACGACACACGCACGCATTTATGAATTATGCATATGTATGCATACGTATCGATGGCGTGTGTATGTATGTGAGTGTGTGTATGTGTGTGTACGTCTGTCTGTATGTATGGCGTACGTGAACACATGATGCATGGCGATGTATGTATGTATGGCGGTATGTGGCGTATGCATGTATGGCGTGTATGCATGCATGCATGCACATGCATGGCATGCACATGCATGCGTATCAATGTGATGATGATGTAATGTAATGAATGGTCAATGAACAACAATGTAATGTAATGGTGTCATGTATGCATGGCGTATGTACATGATGTATGCATGGCGTATGGCGATGCATGTATGAAGGATGTATGCATGGCGATGTATGCATGCATGTATGTATGGCGATGCATGTATGTAATGAATGTAATGCAATGTAAATGTAAATGTATGTATGGCGTAATAATGTAATGTAATGTCATGTAACGTTTGAACGATCGCAGTGTAATGCATGCGCTTATTACGTAGATGCAATGCATGTAATGTGATGTAATGGATAATGATGTAATGGATGTGGTTGATGGTAATGTAATGTAATGCAATGTATGCATGTAGGTAATGCATGTGTGTATGATGTATTTACGCATGTATGTATGCATGCATGGCTTATGTATGCATGCATGGCAGATATGTGATGTGTATTACGCATGTATGTACAATGCAGTTACAATGTTCATGCATGAAGATGCAATATGTTACGCTGTTTGGTTGCATACAAGCTTAGACTGTGACGCATGCAAAGTATTATACGGTATCCATACGCATTCGCATGCACACGTATTACATTTGCGCGTATGTACGCTGACGTGTTTGTGCGTGTATCCATGCACGAAACACGCACGATGTATGTAGATATACATGCATGCATGATGTGTCTATACAAAATGTATGCATACACAATACACATGGGGAATGGCGATGATGAGGAGCGAGGAGCGAGAGAGAGTGAGTGAGGACAGAGAAAGGAGCATGGATGGAGTACGGGATGATACATCGCAGAGTCTGCAAGCATCTACATCCTTGTGAGTCTGAGTATTCATGGTCCATGCATGGGCTGTGGGCTGCCATCAAGGCGCATCTCTGTTACCCAGGTTTGGGCTTGGTTCAGATGTGCTTTGACCGCGGAAGCAGGCAGGAAGAACAGCTCAGATTTGAACACTGGGAGACCAGAGGAAGGAGGTTTGCCTCATTGAAGAAAGACGCCTTGGACGTGACCGATGCCCTTTTTCAATGGCTCTTCCACACAAAATTCAATTCACATATCTTCCCACACAAACCATGCCTTCTTTCAAAGGCTCTTCCACAGATAACTCACATATCGTCCCACACAAACCATGCCTTGTTTCAAAGACTCTTCCACAGAAGATTCACACATCCGCTCACCCAACACATGTCTTTTTACATGTCTTCTTTCAATGAAACAAAGGCAGCATATGTGAAAGAGTTGCCAAGGAGAGTGAACCCTGTGTAGAATAAAGCCAGGCTATGGCTGGGACAGTTTGTGTTACATAACTGGTGGTTTTACATGATATTTAGTGTCTTTTGCTGTACTTTTATGAATCACTGTAACCCTGACTCTTCCACAAAGACTCACATATCATCTCACAAAACATGTCTTTTTCAATAACTCTTTTCTACAGAAAATTCACATATCCTCTCACCCAGAACATGTCTTCTTTCACAAAGGTTCACATATCCTCTCACCAAACCATGCAATTGTTCAAAGGCTTTTCCACAGAAAATTCACATATCTTCCCACACAAACCCCTGCAACATTTGGAATTTGTTGCGCAACATTTCCCTGGACCAAAAAACCAAAAAACCAAAAAACCAAAGAATCTCAGCCATGGTAGGGGGCTACGCTTGTTTTTTTTTTTTTTTGGTTTTTTGGTTTTTTGGTTTTCTGGTTTTGGATTTTTGCTTGTTTTGTTTTTTTTGGTCCACAAAATGGCCTTGCAGAAAATGCATGAGTTCAATCAAAATACACTGTACATATCAATGGTTTTGATACATGATGCAACAACACCTGGGTACTGGGGGGGGGTACCAAATATATATGTATGTATGCATGTATGTGTGTGTGTATGCGTATGTGTATGTATATATATATATATACATTAGTTTAAATGTGTGCAAGTGTTTGTATATGCACGTACTTGTGCAAGTGCTTATCTGTATGAATATGTGATGTATGTACATGTGTGTATATGTGTATATCTGTGTATATATGTGTATGTATGTATATGTATGTATATGTATGTATATGTATGTATATGTATGTATATGTATGTATATGTATGTATATGTATGTATATGTATGTATATGTATGTATATGTATGTATATGTATGTATATGTATGTGTATGTATGTGTATGTATGTGTATGTAATTGTACGTACATGCATGTATGTATGTGTATGTATCTGTAGATGTATGTCTGTATGTCTGTATGTCTGCAGGCATGCATGCATGCATGCATCCATTCATCCGTACATACATGCATACATACATGAATTACATACATACATACATACATACATACATACATACATACATACATACATACATACATATGTATACATACATTAATACATACATACATACATACATACATACATACATACATACATACATACATACATACATACATACATACATACATACATACATACATACATACATACATACATACATTACATACATACATACATACATACATACATACATACATACATACATTACATACATTACATACATACATACATACATACATACATACATACATACATACATTACATACATACATACATACATACATACATACATACATACATACATACATTACATACATACATACATACATACATACATACACACATACATACATACATACATACATACATACATACATACATACATACATACATACATTACACATACATACATACATACATACATACATACATACATACATACATACATACATACATACATACATACATACATACATACATACATTATACATACATACATACATACATACATACATACATACATTACATACATACATTACATTACATACATACATACATACATTACATTACATACATACATACATACATACATACATACATACATACATACATACATACATACATACATACATACATACATACATACATACATACATTACATACATACATACATACATACATACATACATACATACATACATACATACATACATACATACATACATACATACATACATACATACATACATACATACATACATACATACATACATACATACATACATACATACATACATACATACATACATACATACATACATACATACATACATACA